TACATATAAAATGAATTAGTTATGATTGAGATTTTTTACTCACTTAGATTCACTCTAAATGTAAAAACTCTGATCACTGCAGTGGTCAAATTTAAACTCACCCTACTCAGAGAGGAATCTTTAATCCTTCCTTCAAACATCTACGCAGTTACCTTCCATTTCCATGTGGAGCCACTGGTGCGTTCGTCATTAAACGACACGAGTCATTGGACTTTGGATGATGTTGTAGGAGGAAGACGAGAAAAGAAAAAGTTCTTGAGCTTCTAGTTAGTTTATTGGGTTGATGTGAAACCTGAACATCTGGAGTGAGTTTAGTTTAACAGGAAATTATAAGGATTTCTGTCTTATATATATATATATATATATGTATATATTAATTTATATAACTTACAATCTATATCTTAAAACTGTGGATCATTGACTGAGTTGTGTTATTTCTTTTAAAGAACAATATCAACTAACAGCAGCAGCATCAGACTTCACCTCATCCTCAGGTCCCAGAAACACAGATTCAGATGAGCAGCAATAAATGTGTGTTATAGAGGAGGAGGAGGAAGAGGATAGGAGAGGAGGAGGAGAAGGAGGAGGAGAAGGAGGAGAAGGAGGAGGAAGAGGAGAGCAGCAGCTGTGTCTGATTCCACAGCCTCTCTCTCTCTCCCTCTCTCTCTTTCTAACTCTCTCTAACTCTCTCACTCCCTCCCTCTCTCTCTCTCTCTCTCTCTCTCTCTCTCTCCCTCTCTCTCTCTCTCTCTCTCTCTCTCTCTCTCTCTCCCTCCCTCTCTCTCTCTCTCTCTCTCTCTCTCTCTCTCCCTCTCTCTATCTCTCTCTCGTGCAGCAGATCTCCGGTGAAGCTTCTTTTTTGGCTTCGTGGCTCCAGGCGTGAGGGAGAGAGAAGACGGCTCTGAGGTAAGAAGGAGGGATGGAGGCTGGTGAGAAGGAAGAAGGGATGAGACAGCTGGTGAAATGAATGAATACATGAAAAGAGAAGAGAAGCCACGAGATGATGATGATGCGTTGCTTGAAAGACTGGATTTCTGTTGCGCGCTGCGCGTAAACGTGGTCCATGATGGAGAGAGTCCGCGCGCATCGGTGTTATCGTGGAAGTGTTGGACTTTGTGTGTGTGTGTGTGTGTGTGNTGTGTGTGTGTGTGTGTGTGTGTGACCCCACCTGCCAACATGGTTGGTTCAGTGACACTCGGAGGAGGACACAGCTGTAGTTCAGTGTCATGCGTTTGTTAATGTGTCTTGTGTGTGATGTGTTCAATGTCTCAGTGTAGACACAGTGTGCGCGTGTGTGCGTGTGTGTGCGAGCGTGTTGCTCGTTTTTTCGCGTTTGGGGAGTGGAGCGTCCTGTGAGGATGGAGAGTCCTCAGACATCTGTTGGAGAGAGAGAGAGTGTGAGAGAGAAAGAGAGAGAGAGATGTGTGTGAGTCATACAGATGTGTAACTCCAACATCCATCAAACTCTCCAAACACCGTCCTGACAGAGACCGTCACATCCAGATGTTTTATAAGTTGTTGTGGCTGATTTGAATGGTTTAAAGGTTATTGGATAACTCCCATGTGACCTAGTTGTCTTTAATGCAGCATAGGAACCTTCTTGCACTTTTGCAAAACCAGATCCATAAAGTTCTACTGCTCTGAGCTGCTGCGACCCCTGACCTCAGCCTCATCCACCACCTGCAGGATGATCTCCAGCATGTGAGTCACGTCTTATCACCCGGAGCCAGTGGTCGACCTCAGTAAAGCTCTCATGGCTGAACGAGAGAAAATCTCTGCAGCTTCCAACCATCTGGAAAAATATTTAAGAGGCCTGATCTTTGTGGAACTTCTATCTCCAGTTTATTAGGTCCATGCAACACCTGGACCTGTTTCCAGTGTGAAGTGAGTGGAGTTTGTCCAGAATATCATTCTGCAACCTTTTTATTTACAGAAAATTTAAATTAAAACTGAATTCCTCACAGAATCTGAGCCCTTTATCGTTGTCATTAGTTCGTCCTGTGCTTAAATATTGCTGCTGCTGCATCGATGGTGTCCTTTACATTACCGCCGTCCTACGTTTATTACCGCGTAAAACATCCAGATGTTGTCTCCCAGTCTCACCTGAGGCGTTAGAGGACGGGTGGTGAAGACGGCAGTGGGAGTGTGTTGCACTGTGAAGCGTCCAGAGGGAAAACTACAGCAGAGATTTCAGGAGCAGGGAGAAGTCCCTCTCTGCTTCTTCTTCCTGTCGCAGGTGCAGAGAATGAAGATGGTGGCACTTTCAGAAATACGATAATGTTGGATAATAACTATTTTAAACAAATGTCAAGTTTTTTATTTGGAATGAATTCTGGGAAACCTGTAGGTTGGAATTTGATTTTCTCAAAAGTGAAGCCAAATAATCTTGATCTGCCCCCTGGTGGCTGGCTGCAGTACAGGTCATAAACTCCACCTCCACTGAGCAATCACTGCGGCTCAGACTTGAAGTCAAAAGCACAAGATGCTTCCATCTGTATCCCTGAGATATCTTGGCTTCACGTTTTTTGAATAGGAGGAAGTGGAGACGTCGTCCATCTTTATTTATGGAAATGTTTGATGGAATTTGGCTGTTGGACGCTGTTTGAGAAATTAGCTACCGATCATTTAGCTGTTCTTGCATTTTAGAGTCCTGACTGTTTGCAGCACTCATCCTCTCAGTGAATAATTTACCCCTCCCCTTCCCCTCAGCCCGTCCACGACCTAATGCAACGGTAAACACGTGGAAGCTTTATTCCTTCTCCATTGATCTATTTTTAAGCAGATAGATGTTGTGTTCTCTTTAGGTGACCACACCTGACACCTGAGCTTCTTTAAAGCAATTAACACGACGGCAGAATCTGAAACAGCGAGCGTGAGACGCTCGTGAATCATTCAATCACTTGGTAATCCAGGCTGATCAGACGAGCGTATTCAACCCGAACATTTCATTTATATGCAAAATCCTGAGTCAGAGCCGGCGATGGAGGTCAGGCCGCCGGGGCTTCAACGTGTTTCCTGAAATTGTGCAAGAAGATTGTGCGTTTGTGTTCGCTGTGAGCTGCAGGTCTGAGATAAATGCTAAACGGATGTTGCACCTGTGTAATGAAGACGGCGTCTGGACACGTGCTGCGTGTTCGCTGCTTCACATGACGCTGCTCTTGAGCTGCACACGGGATCCACACACACACACACACACACACACACACACACAAACACACACACACACACACACACACACACTGCAGAGTTTACTGTATCCAACATTTTCCAGTTGACTCACGTTTTATTGTCTTCCGTCTTTGTTTCCCTGATTTCTTTGTGTGTATATTTATCTACAGTTTTTTCTGTGGAGTCTCTATAGCTGTGAACTGCATTTCCCATGAGCACTTGCAGGGCCAAAGCACAGGTGTGCTGAATCCAAACTTGTTTAAAACTCCTGGATTCTTTCTGTCAAACTTTTGCCCGATGAAGTTCTGACTTGAGTCTTTTGAAACATTTGAAATGAACATAAATACCCACTGGTCTTTCCTCCACATTTGACTCTATGTTGGCCTCCGTGCATCTTTGTGTTTCGCTGTGAGTAAATGAAATGTTTGTTCTAGAGTTTTGAGTTGAATTGTTGTCACCGTTCACCAAACATTTAAATCTACAATTATTGTATTTCAGAGCAGATTTTCAGCAAAAGATGCTCAACTATATTGACGATTAACTATTGAAGATGAATAAATGTGTAATTAAATTAAGTTATTCTGGCGATAATTTGTCGAGACATTGCAGTCATTTAACTCTTGACTTTAAGGTGTCAGATTCCTGTGGATAATGTTTTGAAATTAAGAAGCAGTTTGTTTTGATCGGTAAACAAATCAAATTACATCAAATTACAATAAATATCACTGAAAAAAACTTCATTTCCAATACAACCTGATTTCTGCTTTCATATTCATGCATAAGTTTGTTTTCCTGTTCTCCTCATGTCTCGTTCTCTCACCTCGTCTCACCTCATCTGTCCTTACACGTCAACATTTTGACAGCTGTCAGACAAACGGGAAAGAGCTCACAGCCTTGAGTTAATGGATACAAGTGTGTGTGTTTGTGTACTTAGTTCGATTTCTGCATTTTCCTTTACTTCATATTGATCATGTTTAAAAGTGACTTTTAGTTGTTAACTTCTGTTTATTTCCACGTGATAATCTCAGTTAAATTATTTTCTCATAACAATTCAAATGAATGTGAAAGAAAGAGGGAAAAATCTCAAAAGGACAAACTGGCAAATCACACCATACAAATTCTCACTTTCTAAACATCTCACATCTTTAAGAGAAAACGAAACGTGATGATTATTTACAACTGAGATTAAAGTCTCTAAATGTGCCGTGTAGGACTTTAAGGAAGATGCAGTGTTGAGAACCAAATGAGAGACTTATGAAGTGTTTATCTAATTTAAAATCAGCCTCCTCTCCTGAGACACTTGGAGGGATTAAGATTAGACGACTGTTTGTCTCAGTAGGTGTGAATCTGGAAGAACTCCATCTTTTAAACTGCATCTCATCCACATTAAAAGCACCTTGTTATTTTCTCTTGGCTCAGACATCACTCTGTGCACCGGCAACTCGTCTTGTTGTCTGTGTGCTTTTACAGGAAACACAAGCTTTGAATTCTTGACGGGTGAAGCTGCTGCAGAAGTAAAGAAAAGAGCGAAAGCTAAATTTATATTCTCCTGCAACTTCAGTCTCATGTGACTTTGCAGTGGGACGAATTGCAGAGCGGAGATAACACAGAGAAGTAGGATAACTCATGATGCCTTTATTTCATCCGTCCTGCTGACAGACGACGAGAAAAGAGGGTTGGAAGACTCATTCATCTCCCTCTCTCCCTGCAGCAGGTCCTAGACGCTGAGGAGCGAGAGAGAGAGCAGGAGGACGTGAAGGAGGAGGAAGATAGAGTCTGACACAGATAAAGAAGAGAGGATAACGTAACAGGAGGCGAAGACTAGGGAGGAGATGGCTGAGGCACCTCAGCAGCAGCAGCAGGAGGTGAAAGAGGAGGAGGAGCAGCTGGAGAAGGAGCAGCAGGAGAAGGAGCAGCCGAGTCCTGCGGAGACGACGGAGCCCAGCGAAGGGTTCGAGGAGGCAAAGGAGAGCGCCCAGATGACCCCGACCCGACCTCTGCTGTCCATGAGGTCCATGAGCAGCGTGGACCCAGAGGACAACTCCCCCAACATGATCGTCTACAGAAAGGTAGGGTTGTCTTCAGATCTCTTTCATTGCTGGACATGGCTGTCCCCTTCACTGTTTTCATTTCATTGGGTCGTTTGAACAGAAACAAACATTTCTTTGCTCAGGGAGAAGCTTTGAATCCTAAATGACGCCTTTGAGTTGCTGTGAAAGCAGAAAGTTAATTGTAATTGTGTAATTGTCAAAGTGCCTCCTGAGAAGTCTTAAATAAAGAATTAGAACTTGGTTGATAAGAGATTTCTAAGAGCTTTTGAATCTTTGTATAAAAACAAAACCTAAAAACTCGTCGCCACTTTGTCTTCATGAGGTTGTTTAGTGTAGTTTGATGGAAGAAAGGTTAAAATAACATCTACAAGACAAAGTGTGCAAAGAGGAGGGGTTTCATTTTCTCTGAAGCTGCTGTTTGTGCTCCTTTGCTTATTTATCGCCACATCCAGTCTCAGGTAGACGATAAAAAACACAGGAGGACTCAACTCTTCTTTCCTCTTGGAAGACCTGTGCCTGAGAATGAAAGCAGGGTGTGTGAAGGAAGACATCATCCCCCCGCAGTGTTTCATTACGAGAGTGGAGCAGTGAGGGAGTGGCGGCGTTTGCTCGGTGCCTTGATGCTCTGTGAGTGGGGGAGCAGCAGGGAGGCGCTGGGGCTGATACTCCTCTTCTCAGTATGTGGGGCCTCCAGGTCTTTGTCTGTATTGTTTATCAGCAGGCAGCGAGTCCACACGTTGACCTGTCTGTCATCGAGGTGAAACAGTTTGCAGGGCAGAGGAGGTGAAACTAAGATTAAATGATGGACGGCAGTTTAACGCAATGTTTGAGGAAATGTTTTGTCGGAGGGGCGGCGTGCACGGCGAGAACCTGCCCCTTTTCCAATGACCTTCCTTCCCTCATGCAAAACTATTTTGCTGATGATTTGAACTTCTGAGGAATATTAACTATATTTAAATATTCCTTTTTGGTGCATGTGTGTTCTGAAGAAGTTTCTGTGAGAAGGTGTAGCAGGATCTTAGGGTGGCTGTGACTCAGCCGGTCGTCCACTCACTAAAGGGCGGTGGTTCGATCCCTGGCTTTGGGCGAGACACTGTGCCCCAAGTGGCTCCTGAAATTGCCCGGCAGTGTGTGGCAGGTGGGTGGGTAAAGTCCTGCCTGTAGATGTTCTGTATGCATGTGCGTGAATGGATGAATGTTTGTACTGGAAAAAGCGTTTTGAATGGTCGATAAGTCCAGAAAAGCTCATATAAATATAAATGTAGTCCATTTACCATTCCCACAGCTCCCAGTGAGACACTGCATATCTATATTAGGCTTATTTATTAGCTGCAATATCTTTGCTGGGAAGCAGCACGTTGACTGGAAGTTACAAAAACTGAGCAAACAGATAAAGGTTTATGTTCATATGGAGACATCGATTACTACAATTTCATTTTCAACCTGTTTATTAAGTTTGGAGATTGAAGCTTGAAGCTTAACTCCAACCGTCCTCACAACCTCATTCTAACCTGCTCTCTGTTTGTATTGTGCTGTAATGCATTCACTCACCACTAACCTGAGCCACAACGACAACACGTCTAACCCCAACCTTTAACCAGGTCCTAACTTATCGATGGACGTCCTCACGCTCCAGGTTTACACCTCAGACACGGTCTTCTCAAAGATAGAATACCAAAAACAAACACAGTCAAGGCTCATGTTTAAAAAAAAAACTAAAAAGATGTTGTTGCACCCTGTGGTTTCACAGTGCTGAGTTTGAGGTGATTAGAAACAAAACAATGTTGGCTGTTAAATATGGTGATTTGGCTCGATGAGTACACACACACACACACACACACACACAAACTCAGTAAATATAATACGTGGACGTTTTCTAAATGTTTTTGTCCATTAGAGAGAGAATTTTATAACGTCGCACAATTAAAGTAAAATCCAACCACCTCATTATATTATACGTTATATATTTTAACACTGTTTTCAATGCGCAACATCCAATGCATCTATTTACTCTGGTGTTTCCACATTGCAAAGAAAAATAAGTCAAGTTTTAAGGGTTTTAAGGGGAAATTTCTATGTTCTTGCACCAAATATTTGCTGCTGGTAAACTCAGCGCGCACTGAGTCAATATCTATTGTGCATCAGGCTTTGAAAATGTATATTTGTTGAAAGAGGCAGGAGGTGCAGCAGGAATTGCAAGACGGCAACAGCCACTGTCAGCTTTGATAAATGAGTTCCTGATGCAGAGATGGAGAGAGGGGGTTCACACAGAGAGAGAGAGAGAGAGAGGGAGAGAGAGAGGGGTGAGAACCAAGTCGAGAGAAGACAAAAGATAAGCAGAGAGGGAATTCAGGAGGAGAGAGAAAATAAGAGACGAGTACACAAACAGCAGGAGTGTGAAGACGAGGAGGAAGGTGAAGAGCAGTGGTCACGAAGCAGCAGGTGGATGTTGCCAACACACACACACACACACACACACACACGCTTACACACAGTAAAGGTTAGTTCAGGTGAATAACAGCAAAGCAGCAGTAAGTAAAGATGTTTACTGGGTTAGATGCATATGTCCTGTTCTGCTTCATGCTGCATTTCTGAAGATTCGCTCTGAGAAGGGAATCGAACCACAGTCGGTCACGTTGTTCGCGGTTTTGTGACTTTACCACAACTGAACAGAAATATATGTGACGGAGGAGGCTTCACACAAACGTACTCCAAATCTGTTTGTAGTAAATTGCTCCATTGATTAATCCATCTGATCCACAGCTGAGCCTTTAAACACAGATTCCACAACTCAGCTTTAATCTCACTTATCCTAAAAAATTCAATTAATTTTTTATTAAATCACAACACTTTTCATCGTTCTCTGGTCTACACTGAGCTACTGATTCACGACATTTGCTGTTACACCAAAAAGGTTTGTTATGAAATATGAATGACCTGGATCACCGTCCCATTAGTCTCCCAAGATGAGTCATCAATCATCCACCAAGCATGGGGGGGGGGGGGGGGTATGCAAATAGTGGATTCCCCCCTGATTCACCGGTGACAAACCTTTGGGGACGCAAGTAACAAAATATTATTTCTGACTTTTAGCAGATGCAGGGTCAGTTTTTTTCTTGGTTGGGTTTTTAAAAATAAATAAATGTGGAACAGGAGGAGCTGATACTGGGTCAGTGCCTGAGGAGTAATCAGGAAGAGAAGTGATGCCTCTCGCCTACAGGGACACATTCATCTGCTAAAAAGATGCTGTGTGACTTAATGTCTCCCTCCCTCTCTTCTCCCTCCCTCTCGTCTCCCCTCCCTCTCGTCTCCCCCCCTCTCTTCGTCCTCTTATATTCATTTTGGTGTGTCTGTATTTATGTGTTCTGTTCTATTGCACTGTGTTCTTATTGCATCTTATCCCATTCATTTATCTAACTGTTCTATTCCATTGTCCTCTTGTTGTTTGTTCTATTCTCTGAAGCAGAGTGCAGGTACTGTCTGGATCTAAATGCCTGAAGAAGGAATGAGATGAAGATAGTGTGTGTGTGTGTGTGTTATAGAAATGTGACGCAGAGTATTAGTGTGCGCTGCTGTTGGATTGTGTGTTTGTACAGTCCAGAGTATTCCACCTTTATTCTCTGGCCTGCGCTCTGTCAGCAGCAGCAGCTGTTGAACTGCAGAGCTGTTTACTTAACAAGCTGTTTATACAGATACCTGCTCCCATATTCCTCTGAGCTGCTGGAACGTGTCCTGAAACCGAGCTGGGGGGTTCTGGGACGCTGCCCTCGTAGCAGCAGGAGTCCTCAACTGCAAACACCTGAAAGGATCTGACTTTATTACTCTTCAGTCCGATAATGATTCCTCATAGTTCTGCCTCTGCCAAACAATCCACATATGTTTTCACAAAATTGGGTATTTGATCATTTCAGGGACATTTTTTTTTACTCATTTGGTCTGTGAGATCAAACCTGTTCATTATTTGGTTTTCAAACCCTGATCCTGAAAACCATCATGACGTCAGAAAATAATAGTGTTTTCTCATTGGAAGTGAGGCTCTTATATTGATCTCCTGTCAATCATTTATCCATTACGTCCTCATCTAATGGCCATAATTCACCGTGCCCACTAAAAGTAATGGGGATGGTCAATGAATTGCATTAATTCAAGCCTCATCACTTTTCTTAAAATGTTGTTTTCTGTTGCATCATCTAGAAAAATGCTCAAAATTATTCACACAGATTTGCAAATGTGGAAACTTACAGTACGTTTGTATTTACTCTTCAAATCAATGCTGCACCAGGTCTGATGCAAACACATTTAAACTGCAACGTCTGTGAATTTCCTCCCTGCACATTCATCTTTGAAGAGCCACAGCTGGAGTAAGAACTTTTCTAGTTGTTTTGTTGGACGCTCTCCTCACACCGGGCGATGTGCTTGCTTGTGGCTGTTTTCTTGTTTTCATGTGGAAAATGCCCCCAAACAAAATGTCCACAACACTTCAAAGTTTGTCTTGAGGAAAGAGAAATACACAATATTCCAGGTATTTTAAGTCTTTTAAGTCTGCAGGGTAAGAAGAGTTTCACATGCAAATTGATTTGCACAGAAATTTCCGGCGTCTTCTTCTTCTGTTGTGTTATTAATTGAAACACCAGTGAGTCGGATCAATCATTTTCACACATTAAACTCTAATTGAAGACCAGGACAGTGTCATCGCTGAAAGCGTCCATGCAGCAATAAAAACAATTGTGTGATTCACTGTTACACTTAGGAAGGGATTAAATAACTGCTGTTTTGTTTATTGTTAACATCAACTGCTGGCTGCACAAGGTGATTCATTATTTTATGCCTTGAAGCTCTTGAGCCCCTGTTCACAAGCCATAAAATTCCAGTCATGCTTATGGTCCCTGCATCCCATCGCATATTTATTAGGCAATTTCACGTGGCAGAGATATTCATTGGCCGGCGAGAACATGAATCATAGCTTTTCTCCTCGACTCTAACGGCACCGAGCAGATACCGCGGATCAAGATTGTTAC